CTACTATTTGTATTAGATTATAGCAACTACAAAATAACTTGTAGTCAACTATTAATATATTTCAATACCTACAACCTATAATAGATAATCCAAACAGACTTACATTTAATCTTAAAATTATCCAGCTCTTTATATATCTCAAAATATCTGTGATAGCAAACTTTAATATTATATGGTCTAATATAATTCAACACAATTTTTAACTACTAGAAAAAATACTTATAACAAACTTTAAATATTTTGCTTTTAAGTATCAACTTAAAAAACTTAAACTATTTTATCTTGAACAGATGATAGTACTATGCTTCTAGAATAGAAATATCTTTTTTCTAGACTTCTATATTTACTAAAAGGGAGAGAACCTTTATAGTTTCAAATACTCAAGAGTATAGTTTTTAAAAACACATACTAGCATTTTCTACATACTCAATTTTAATAACAGGATATTAATATCTTTGTTTATAACACCAACAACATGTCAAAAAATCTAAACCATAGCTACTTTCTTTTAATAATAATGAAATTATCATTGACAAAATTTGTACACATCTCACAGACTCTAATAAAATCTCTATTACTCACTGGCAAATAAATATTAATACTAATAATACTGAATACTACTCACTTCCACCAATTAACTACAATCTATGTTTTGGTTGCTATCTTAATTTTAACAGAATTATTTCAGCCTGTATAATTAATATATCAGATATTATATTAATACAATTTTTTGGAAGATCTCTTTTAATATTTTAAATTTAATGCCAATTATATAAACTTTACTTTTTTTACAGCTATTAAATATCTAATCTCCCTCTTTTTTACCTTATATATTATTATCTATCACTATTTTTCACTCTGCTATATCAGAAATTTTTTACTATAGTGACAAAACAGATAAACTAATTGAAATTTCATCATTGAATTCTACTCAAAATATTTTCAATTTTTATACAGATAGATCAGTTATCAATATTAATACCAACCAGTATTTTATGAATATAGGTTGGATTCAAATAGATGATAATGATTAAATAATCTATAAATTCTTAGCTAAAATTTATTTATAGCCAACTTTATACAAAGCTAAACTTTTTTATTTTATTTGCTATTTTAACTACTCTTTGCAACTGACAATATTTTTAATAACTTAGCTAACTTATTAGCTAAACAACATATATTTGAAATATCATTATACTTTAATTACACCAATATTTACAATTTATTCTATACCTTGCAATAGGAAAAAAATTAGTTTTCAGTAGAATATTTCATCAGATATTTTATTAAAACAATCTATAAAATCCATATTTTAGCAATATAGTTATCTCAAAAACACAATAACGAATAGTTCTTACTTAACAAACAAATAGAGTAGAGATCTACATGACTCTATTTTAACTATAATCAAAAAGTTACAAACAACTTCACAAACTTTAAACTTAACTAGCTTAAATCCTTTAAAATTACAATACTGCTTAATAAACTTCCTATACACTCATTCTATTACTCTATATATTCTAAATCTTTTTATAATGATAACTATTTATTGTAGCTTTTAGGACTCTTTATCATACTGGTATACCTATATCAACTCTACTTTACTTCATCAGATAATCCTATCTACTATTACAGATTATTTATGCTTAGTAGAACTAGATATAACTAACAATGAATTAGAGAAATTAATTTAAAAAGTTTATAAACATGAGGTGTTTTCTAATATAGCTCTTCAAATCTATTTATACTATATAGAGCCTACTCTTAAAGGCCTAATTTCTTGATTTTTAATTTAAATACTTCAAAACTATAGTATTCTTTACAAAATAATATCAAATATTATAATTAATCTTTTGTTTAAGATTAATGATCAACTATATAAACAATTATAGAAATCCTATTGTACAAACTTTGCCAACTAAAAAAAAACAACAAAATTTATTCTATTTATATAACAGAGCTAATTCTACTCAACATACTATTAACTCAGATTCAGAAGATTCAAGTTTAGACTCATACTCTAAAAATATTAACTATATATATAAAACTTATATATATTCTTGTTTATGTGAATTATCAGATCAACTATACTCATGTATAGGAATCTGTCCACTGGTTGATAGACCAAGAAGAAAATTAACACTTAGTCTATTCATTGAGTCAAATTTAATATTTCTTTAAATTATATCTTAACTATAGTAACCTAGGTAAGTCTTTGATCACTCTAGTAAATTTAGATCACAAATAAATTTTTTCTGTCTCTGAACTCTTATTTTTGCATGTAATTTTTATTTTTATTTGTACTGGTACAAACAGTAATAGCTTTGTAAATTTCTATATTTAGTAGTTAATAGTTAACCCTGACTACAAGTAGAAGCCTTGGTGATTGTACTATAGTAATCTATATTGTTACTATTTACAAATTATTACTAATAAAGATATGAGCAAGGCATTACCTTAAAACCAAAAAAAAATTTATAACTACTAGTAGATTTAAATTTTTCAGTCTAGCTAATAAAAAATCTTAAGTATACAATAATGATATATAATATCTAAAGCTAGCATTTATTTAATTTTCAGATAGTTATATATTAATTTACATTTTCTAAAAATCACATTTTAATAATTTGAATAAATGTATAAAATCTTGATTATATGCATAATCTTTTACAACTTAATTGTGTTTTCAATTCAATAAATACCTAATTTTATAAGCAAAAAACTAAAGTTAATACAAATTTTTTCTTAAAATCTAACAAAAATATTAAAAAATCATACCAGGAATAATCCTCCACTTTACAATTTCACAATACTTATCCCAATTCTTTTTATACTTATTTTTACATTTTTCTTCATCTCTAAGTTCTCGATGAATCAATAATACTGCAAAATATATAGCATAAAAGTATGGTATAATATCATCAAATCCTAAACAAAGTTTGAAAATAAAAATTTTATTATAAATTGTAATTAAAAAAAGATAATACTTTTATTAAAAATTTTACCACAAAGTAAACACCAAGCCCATGAAATTATCCAGTCACCTATATTTAAAAACAAAGTTTATATAAACTTGCAATTATTATAAAAATAAATAAAAAAAATTACGTAAAATTAAATCAAACCAAGATAATTTATATGCCTTGCTCTTCCCCACCATCCAGAAATAATTAATCTTGAACCAGCTTCAGTTGTTATATATTTCAGATCTGTTTTATTATAACCATAGTAAATATTAATAATATCAGTTAGTTATCAATTTAATGTATCCAAGGTATTAGTTTCTAATCCAGAAAATAAATGAAATGAATCGAGTAAACAAATAAAAAAAACAATATACGTTTAACTTTTGGATCTTCAGGATTATTCCTAAAATGATTTTTTTCGTTATTTGCACCCCTAAATATTGTATACCCAATAGCTTGTAGGCCAATTATAAATATGATTTGAAGTCGGGATAAATAAACAGGATGCAAAGCAAGATATCTGGCTTGAAGTCCATACAAAAACCCAACCCATGTGAAGTTTCCAAATGATAACATCCAACCAAAACCATCTGTAGTAATATCCATTGTTGTTAAAACTGCAGGCTGATATAGATTTAAATTATAATATAAGATAGATTATAAATTTTTTAAAAAAACAAAAAAGAAAAAATATTTCAATAACGAAAATTTTACCTCATTGTAAAGAGCATCAACACAATACCATCCTTGAAAAATTACAATTAAGAACATCCCAATTGTAACGTGCCCAAGATCATGATATTGTTTAATGGCCATGGCTATATTCATAATAATCCAACCAATTATACCCGGTCGAAGTTCCACAAAATATTTAATATCGAATGATCCAATGCGTGGATTCAATTCTCGACCAATCATAAACTTTTAAACAACAAGAAATGTTATAAATTATATCTTTTATAAGTAATTTAAAAATGTATATATATATCTTACATCATAAATAACGTTTCCAGAATTTCCACCAAGTGCTAATAATTTTCCTTTTTGAAATGAAGCCAAATAAACATAAAACGAAAGAGTAAAAGATACGATTATCGAAGCAGTAATTAATCCAATAAAGTGACGATCAATAAATAAAAAAGGTTCATGTCCTTTAATATTTAGGATCATTAAAATTATGAATAATGTTAATATCAAGCTATAAAATCCATTCTCTTTGTATTTTAATTTTGTGCCATTACGAAGCTGAGTTCCTTCAACCCAACGACCTGGTATTAAGTAAAAGATTATAATTAAATATGCTAGATAAATTAAGTAAGCAAGAAAAGCCGTTAGATCAAATAACGACAAAATATTAGATAAAGTGAATAAAGTTTTAAGGTTATTAATATCGGACAAATAGACAATGAGTTCACGAGATGGATAGCCATCGAACTGACAGCTTAAATGTAAAACATAAACAAGAATTGGAAGTACTGTAATCATTAAAAATGCACCAATGGGTCCTAAAAATTCATATTTCGTGGTTTTTGGGTTTAGAACAGATTCATTTTTTGACGACATATTTTCAAAGATGAATAGTGGTTCAATGTACATTATTACCCTTTAAATTTCTAACTACATCTGCAATATGAATATCGTGTAACATAATTTTTAAGCGGATATTAGGATAAATATGATTGGCGATGATCTTTTTTTTTATAACTTTAAAATACTTTTGATAGTAAAAATCGTCGTGTCATATGAAACTTTTTTTTTTTGTAATACAAAACGTAACAACCAACTTGAGTTTTTGGTAGTTTACCTTTAAACTTATCGTTTTACAACCTGAGATGCATTAAGATGCAGTAGCTCCAAAAACTAGATGAGAGGTGAATATTTTGAAAGGTCAGAAGGTAGTTCGGAGGCCTAAACAATTGGTAAGTAAAATTTAGAGACTCTGCTTCAACTAGTTTTGTTTGTTTTTTTTTTTTAAGTAAAAAGTATTTTTGAACTATTATTCTGAACTGTATTTTGAACCGTATTTTGAACTGTATTTTAATAGTTTTTATAATATTTTATTTAGATATAAGTATAGTTTATGAATATGACGTTTATAATACAATAATTGATAATAGTAATAGTGTTTAGGAATAAATGCCTACTAAATAACGCATACATGACATAAATAGTGTTTAGAGATGTCGTGTATGCGTTATTTAGTAGACATTAATATGTATTTATTTCGAAAAAAAAATAAAAACCTTGTGAAACATAGAATATTGCATATTTGCGATATATAATATATGTTTTTTTAGAGTATCATTAATTTTTTAAAAGTTCGACGAATAATAAAATTTTTATCCAGGATTGATCGACAATTTTTCCGGGGTGTCTTAACAACCAATCAAAACGAACCTCCGCTATGCACAATTTTTATCGTCACACGCGAAATCTATCAGGTTAAAATTTAAATGTGAAGCCAAAATAATGGATACGTATTTTTTCGTTACCATTTTACCATTTACACGCGTTATCGTTAGTTATCGTTATCATTAAAGTATAGAGTAAAGTCAATCACACGCGTTATCGTTACAATATATCTTTACAATACAGAATAAAGTCATGGCAAGTGATTTAGAAGAATGGATCCAAAGCTATATCAGTAATGGACATATTAATTATCTTAGACATGATAAACCGTTTACGAACATCGTAAAAATTGGTACTGGAAGTTTCGGACCGGTTTTTAAGTACGAATGGAAAGAGCACAGAACAACAGTCGTTCTTAAATGTCTCAAAGTCAATACACATACACGTTCAAATGAAGAACTTATTAACGGCTTTATTAATGAGGTATTGTGTATTATATTAAAACTTGAGCTATTTTTTCTATTGTATTAAATTACGTGTTAAAATTTTTCTCTAATTCATGTAACATAAAAGCTTAAACTATTAATAAGTGTTCATTACCATCCAAATATTATTACATTTTACGGACTCACCAAAGGTATGTATTCGGACTATAATTTTGATAGTATAAAATAATTGTCGAAGGACATTCATTATAATTATTAAATTCATTAATAATTATTCTAAATAAATAGACCATAATGGATTTTATAATATGGTCTTTCAATACGCTGATGGTGGAAATCTACGAGAATACTTGAGAGAAAATTTTATGATGTTGCAGTGGACAAATAAATTATGTATTGCTAGAGAAATAATTCTAGGGCTTTTATATTTACATGATAATAATATTGTTCATAAGAATCTTGTAAGTAATTATCACGTTTTGAAAGGTTTATTTTACTAATACACTATTTATTTTTCACTAATATATTGTTTATTTTTCATTAATACATTGTTTATTTTTCATTAATACATTGTTTATTTTTCTTATAGCATTCGAAAAATATATTAATTCATCAAGGAAAACCAAAGATTGCGGATTTTGGGCTGTCAGATTTAATTGTTCGTAAAATGACCGCATATATGGATCCTAAATGTTTTAATAGCTCAAGATTCAAGTATAAGCATAATAAAAAATCGGATATATATAGCTTAGGAGTGATTCTTTGGGAAATTTCCAGCGGTATGCCACCTTTTCAATCCTTTACAACGGAACTTTCACTCGTTCATCATATTTCTAAAGGAAGTAGGGAAGATCCAATTGAAGGCACACCAATTCAATATGTTAAACTTTATAATCAATGTTGGGATGGGATTCCTAATAATCGTCCAGCAACGAAAACTGTATTTGAAATTTTAGAAAGTCTTATTCCGTCCGAAATTTTAAATCAACGTCAAAATTTAAGTCAATATATTCCTGTTCAACCCATTTTCTCGAATCAACAAAGTATAATCACAACACCTTTACGTGATTATAGGAATATACCGACCGAAATTTCAAATCAACGTTTTCCTAATCAGATCATTTTTTCGAATCAACAAAGTAATATCACAGCATCTTTGCGTGATTTTATGAATATAGCTGCAAGTGAGAATCAGATCATTTTCTCGAATCAACAAAGTAACATCGCAGCATCTTTGCGTGATTATATGGATATATCTGCGAATGAAAATCAGACCATTTTCTCAAATCAACAAAGTAACATCACAGCAACTTTACATGAATATACAAATATATCTGCGAGTGAAAATCAGACCATTTTCTCGAACCATCAAAGTAACATCACAACATCTTTACGTGATTATACAATTAAATCTGCGAGTGAAAATCAGA